TTTCAATCTCCAGCATAAATGGGTTAAATGAAAACTTCCCAGGGAGCTGATTAAGCACAGTATTATGTGAATACCTGCAAAGAATAAAAATTAGAGCTTATCATCTAGAACTTAGGACAACATGAACATAAATGATCAAACTGAAGTGCCTGATGCTGACCTAAACACAAGCTGGTCCCACTCAATGAAGGCTGCACAGGCCTAATCCTAAAACAGTTATGCTTTTGGTAAAGACTGATGAGTTAGGACCCTGTTTCAACAAAGATGGCAGGCATTCTTGAGAAACTCTTTGTCTCTCACCCCTCTTGAGTTAATTACCAGAACTCCTCAAGTGGAGGAGTCCGAGGCTTCTAAATTACACAGAGAAGTGTGACCTGCACACTTTCCAGAATAGCCTCAAGTGCCCACCATGTCCTCACAGAGGTACTAAGTCTGAAGCCCTGTTCTGTGAACCTGGCACCTCATGTCAGCACGTGTCCTAGGATGATGCCTGAACACTGGCTTCTGAGCCTCTCATAGCCTTTCAAAACCACCTCAAAGAATAAATGGTATTTATAGGATTCCAGTGATAAAATTATAGAAGTAACACAGAGTGATTATTGCTCACCTTAATGCACACGTTAACAGAAATGGTCTGGTCCCCTTTGCCACTGAGTGTGTTGAAAAGTGCGAGTGTCTGAATCCCACCAGCATCACTGCATGTGTCATCTGCTACACCATCATCCCCCATGAACTTGACCTTTAGCCAATTTGCTAGAATTCTGTAGATAAAAGAAAATAATACTGGTAGAAGAATCTAATTTTGGCGGCACCCGTAGCTTAGTGGGTAGGGCGCTGGCCACATTCCCTGAGGCTGGCGGGTTCAAATCTAGCCCAGGCCAGCTAAATAACAATGACAACTGCAAAAAGAAATAGCCTGGCACTGTGGTGGGCACCTGTAGTCCCAGCTACTTGGGAGACTGAGGCAAAAGAATTGCCTAAGCCCAAGAGTTGGAGTTTGCTGTGAGCTATGACACCACAGCACTCTCCCCAGGGCAACAGCTTGAGACTCTGTCTCAAAAAAAAATCTCCCCAGGGCAACAGCTTGAGACTCTGTCTCAAAAAAAAAAAAAAAAAATCTAATTCTAAATTTGAACTATAAAAATTTCCAGAGAATAACAGAAAAATATCACACAGATCTAGGCCCAAAGACACCAAATCTTATTTTGAAGGTGATCTGGACAAAGCAGGCTGTCATTTTAAAATGAAGCTAGGGTGAGATTCAAATCACACTTGTGACACACATACACACACAGAAATAAATAAATAAAATGGAGGTAGGAACTCTATGGGGTAGGAGAAGAGGGTCCTCATGGAACTGGCTCATTCTAATGGGACTTAAGGTTCTCAAGTACTAAGAAAAGATTTTGAGCAACAGAAAATTATCTCTAGAGTTTTTATAGAATCAAATTTCTCATGTGTGAGACTTTAAGAATTCCTACATGATATATGAACTGAACTCAGTAAATCAGAAGATAGCTCTTTTAAGAAACAATCATGAGGTGGCACCTGTGGCTCAGTGAGTAGGGCGATGGCCCCATATACTGAGGGTGGCAGGTTCAAATCTGGCCCCAGCCAAACTGCAACAAAAAAACAGCCGGGCGTTGTGGAGGGCGCCTTTAGTCCCAGCTACTCAGGAGGCTGAGGCAAGAGAATCGCC